CTAGCTATTACTCCAGCCATGACTCCAGGAGACTGGACTAGATGAGCTCTCCGTGTCCCTTCCAGTTTCTTACTGAACAACTGTTGCATTTTATTATTTCAGCCCAACTATGAATCCACTCATGAATTTATGCAGGATTTAAACTTCAATTAAAATAATAATACTAAAAACTTTATCGCTCGTAATGGCTGCAGAGAGGATATTCCAAATGTCATCCACACCTTGGGTATGAATCTGCAGCAGGCATCTCTATTGCATCCCTAGTATTCAAAGCTTTCCTGTGCAGTAGAAGAGTGATGCCAACGAGATTTTAATCTTTGTCCCTGCTGCTATTCGGATCCATAGGTCCTGGAGCTGGGGGTGCTGCTGCACCCCCTGGCTTGAAGTGGGTCTCATCATATACAAGCATTTACGGTTTGGTTCAATGGCTGTCAGTACCCCTCCCTTCCCAATTATAAGAGTTGTTCCAGCAGTCCTGTTCAGATCCATGTGGGCTGCAGAGATAGGCACAAAAGCGACTCATGGGGGAAGAAGGAACATAAAACAAGCTGAGCAAGTTGGATGGTCTACCCCAGCAGCCAAGATGGTCTAGGGTAGAAAGATAGAGTTCCTTCTCAAACAGAGTATGATTTATAAACCTCCATTTAGATGTCTTCCCTTGAAGAGTTCCACATACATTTTTCTTGGGACAAAATAAACTCTTTACATTGCAAGAAAAAGCAAAATGGAATATTTGTTCTGAAGTTATGATCAAGTGATTTAAATACCGTTATGCCCTCTAGGTGGCAAAGGGAGAAGGAAGGGGGAGCAGGTTTGAAACTGCTTTGAGTTGTTTGCTGAAAGTTTGGGGAAGAGGGGTTTAGAGTCTCTTCTCTGTAGGGTACAGTCTACACAACGGCACTATTTCGAGATAACGTCCGTTATCCCGAAATAGCGTTCTGCACATCTTAACGGCAAGCCTGTTATTTCGAAATACATTCGAAATAGCAGCCTTGTTCTGAAATCCCGTAAACCTTGCTGCGCAAGGATTAAGGAGCTTGTCGGAAAAGCGCTCTATTTCTAAATTAGCACTGTTTAGACCGCCTATTTTGAAATTTGGCACTATCTCGGAATAAACTACGTAATTTGTGTAGATCAGATTGCGTGGTTTATTTCAAGCTATGCGCTACTGTGTGGACACACCTTAAAAGAGCAGCAGTTAAGTTTAATGTACTCTGAAAGTGTCTTGAGCGGTTCTAGTTAGAAATATGGCTTATTCTGTCCCGTATCATTATTTAGGACGTCATTGGACAGGTTTTGCCTGATGCAACGACAACAGCATTTGAATGTAAGTACAGCTTATTTAACTTCTGTCTGCAGTGTGTCTAGCTTGGGCTCCTCTGCTCACATTATGTAGTTGTCATTTTTAAATAAATAATGTTTATGTTCATTGTATGTTATGGTTAAATATTTATACATTAATGCAAGTTTAATGATGATGCTCAGCTAAGTAATATTTTATTATTTAATTACATTTTGACTGAGCATATCTCTACAATATAGCTTTAATTACCAACGTGACCTTATCATGCTCTTACTCCTCACTGCAATTTTACAGCTTGAATTAAATGAAAAGTATAAAGTACCTGTAGATCTATGATTGTAATTTGAAAATTTAATTCTAGGTTTAAAAAAACAAAAGAGCTGCAAAGTGCAGCTTTGAAAAAAAATGCCACAAAAAGTAGATTAATCCCAGGCGCACAGGAGTGTCGCCATTGCTGCATTGAAACCGCATCTCAATTAGATCTGGGCCTTTCCTTTTTAATTCAATGGAAACTGACCACATGGAGTATGAACCCTTGGTCTCTACTAGAAAAGGAGCTTTCTGCATACATCATCTGCTGCCACTTGCTGAGGCCGGAGAAGCATAATGATTGCTGGGATCTTATCCTTATTCTCTTGTATGAAGATATGATCTCTTTTCCCACCTGTGAAGATTACATGACAGTCAGATACAGTGCAGGTATTGTGGTGGGGCTACTACCTTGAGATCAGTTGTTTCTTTGGCTCTAGGAAGATCACATCCTGTGGTCAGAATGTTAGGTTTGACAGTTGTGGCACATGTGTCGAGGGCCACGTGTCTCCCCAATGACAGAGAAAGGTTTGGTTTGGTTTTAAATCGGTTTCTATTGAGATGGGAAGGTTGGAGTCTGTATTTTCCCAGCCCATGGGAGGAGGTAGCAATTTGTTCCCAGTGCAAGGATGCTCGTGAGATGCCAAGTCCTTAGTTTTCCTTCTTTCCTTCCTCTACAACTTAAAGATATCGGCCAACTTTTCTATATTACTCCTTTTTCTTTTCTTCAGTATGTGAATGAAGGAGTGGCTAGGCCGAACCTGAGCAGTGCTATGATCCTGTGCTCCAGGGGACAACACCTGAATCAGAGAGCTAGGCTCAGCCCCGCAGGATTAGCATTGCCATTACAGAATGAATGCAGGACAAGCTTGTTCTGCAATGAGTTTGCAGTGTGGGAGGGAGCTCCAGGCTGAGCCTGGGGCAGGGGGCGATGGGTGCAAGGCCTGGGAGAGAGTATACGTGTAGGAGGGAATTCCGGGCTGGGGCAGAGTGTTGGGGTGGAGAAGAGAGTCTGAGGTGCTAGCTCTGGGAGGGGGCTCAGAGGTGGGGCTTGGAGTACAGGGGGGCTAGGGTGCATATGGGGCGCTGGCTCTGGGAGAAGGTTCTGGGTTGGGGCAGAAGGTTGGGATTCAGGAGGGATTTTGGGGTGCTGGCTCTGGGAAGGAACTCAGGGAGAGGGCTTGAGATGCAGATGGGGATATGGGGCACTGACTCTGAAAGGGGATGTGGGTCTGGGGTAGGAGGCTCAGGATTCAGGAGGGGGTTTGGTGTGTTGGCTCTGAGAGGGGCCTGGGATGCGGCCTTGGGTGACACTTACTGCAGGAGGCTTCCGTTTAGCAACTCAGGGTTTGTTTACACTTGCAGCCTATTTCGGAATAGGGCTGCAAATGTAGGCATTCGGAATTGCAAATCAAGCCCGGGATTTAAATATCCCGTGCTTGATTTGCATCTTCCCGGCCAGGCGCCTTTTTTGAAATTTACAAGCCCAAAATAACTGCCCACGTCTGCATGCGGCAGTGAAACGGGCATTCGAAATAAAGCCGTAGTTTGAACTACCTCTTATTCCTTCTGCAATGAGGTTTAACAGTTCGAAATAGGGCTTTATTTCAAACACCCGTTTCACTGCCACATGTAGACGTGGGCAGTTATTTTGGGCTTGTAAATTTCAAAAAAGGCGCCTGGCCGGGAAGATGCAAATCAAGCACGGGATATTTAAATCTCAGAGTTGATTTACAATTCCGAATGCCTGCATTTGTAGCCCTATTCCAAAATAGGCTGCAAGTGTAGACATACCCTCAGTGAGGCTAAGGCAAGCTCCCTTTCTTTCCCGTCCCCACACTGCTCCTGCCAGGAACCAATGTGGCTCTGGGTGGAGGGTGGGGGGGTCACACGACTTTGTGCTGCTCCTCTCTGCGGACACTGCGTCCTCACATCTATCTCCTGTTCCCATCCAATGCTGAAAGAGTGGAACATGAGGCAGGAGCAGCCCCCCCCTCCCCCTCCACCACACACACTGGCCACTTTCAGGGGCATCGAGAAGCTGGGGTAGGCAGGCACTCAGGAGCCTGCTTTAGTGGCTGGGCTGCTGCACCACCAGAGATTGTGATCAGCTGGGAGAGCCCCCAGGAGCAACCAGTCGATCCTGATTGACCAGTTAGTGACTGCTAGGCTAGCTATTACTCCAGCCATGACTCCAGGAGACTGGACTAGATGAGCTCTCCGTGTCCCTTCCAGTTTCTTACTGAACAACTGTTGCATTTTATTATTTCAGCCCAACTATGAATCCACTCATGAATTTATGCAGGATTTAAACTTCAATTAAAATAATAATACTAAAAACTTTATCGCTCGTAATGGCTGCAGAGAGGATATTCCAAATGTCATCCACACCTTGGGTATGAATCTGCAGCAGGCATCTCTATTGCATCCCTAGTATTCAAAGCTTTCCTGTGCAGTAGAAGAGTGATGCCAACGAGATTTTAATCTTTGTCCCTGCTGCTATTCGGATCCATAGGTCCTGGAGCTGGGGGTGCTGCTGCACCCCCTGGCTTGAAGTGGGTCTCATCATATACAAGCATTTACGGTTTGGTTCAATGGCTGTCAGTACCCCTCCCTTCCCAATTATAAGAGTTGTTCCAGCAGTCCTGTTCAGATCCATGTGGGCTGCAGAGATAGGCACAAAAGCGACTCATGGGGGAAGAAGGAACATAAAACAAGCTGAGCAAGTTGGATGGTCTACCCCAGCAGCCAAGATGGTCTAGGGTAGAAAGATAGAGTTCCTTCTCAAACAGAGTATGATTTATAAACCTCCATTTAGATGTCTTCCCTTGAAGAGTTCCACATACATTTTTCTTGGGACAAAATAAACTCTTTACATTGCAAGAAAAAGCAAAATGGAATATTTGTTCTGAAGTTATGATCAAGTGATTTAAATACCGTTATGCCCTCTAGGTGGCAAAGGGAGAAGGAAGGGGGAGCAGGTTTGAAACTGCTTTGAGTTGTTTGCTGAAAGTTTGGGGAAGAGGGGTTTAGAGTCTCTTCTCTGTAGGGTACAGTCTACACAACGGCACTATTTCGAGATAACGTCCGTTATCCCGAAATAGCGTTCTGCACATCTTAACGGCAAGCCTGTTATTTCGAAATACATTCGAAATAGCAGCCTTGTTCTGAAATCCCGTAAACCTTGCTGCGCAAGGATTAAGGAGCTTGTCGGAAAAGCGCTCTATTTCTAAATTAGCACTGTTTAGACCGCCTATTTTGAAATTTGGCACTATCTCGGAATAAACTACGTAATTTGTGTAGATCAGATTGCGTGGTTTATTTCAAGCTATGCGCTACTGTGTGGACACACCTTAAAAGAGCAGCAGTTAAGTTTAATGTACTCTGAAAGTGTCTTGAGCGGTTCTAGTTAGAAATATGGCTTATTCTGTCCCGTATCATTATTTAGGACGTCATTGGACAGGTTTTGCCTGATGCAACGACAACAGCATTTGAATGTAAGTACAGCTTATTTAACTTCTGTCTGCAGTGTGTCTAGCTTGGGCTCCTCTGCTCACATTATGTAGTTGTCATTTTTAAATAAATAATGTTTATGTTCATTGTATGTTATGGTTAAATATTTATACATTAATGCAAGTTTAATGATGATGCTCAGCTAAGTAATATTTTATTATTTAATTACATTTTGACTGAGCATATCTCTACAATATAGCTTTAATTACCAACGTGACCTTATCATGCTCTTACTCCTCACTGCAATTTTACAGCTTGAATTAAATGAAAAGTATAAAGTACCTGTAGATCTATGATTGTAATTTGAAAATTTAATTCTAGGTTTAAAAAAACAAAAGAGCTGCAAAGTGCAGCTTTGAAAAAAAATGCCACAAAAAGTAGATTAATCCCAGGCGCACAGGAGTGTCGCCATTGCTGCATTGAAACCGCATCTCAATTAGATCTGGGCCTTTCCTTTTTAATTCAATGGAAACTGACCACATGGAGTATGAACCCTTGGTCTCTACTAGAAAAGGAGCTTTCTGCATACATCATCTGCTGCCACTTGCTGAGGCCGGAGAAGCATAATGATTGCTGGGATCTTATCCTTATTCTCTTGTATGAAGATATGATCTCTTTTCCCACCTGTGAAGATTACATGACAGTCAGATACAGTGCAGGTATTGTGGTGGGGCTACTACCTTGAGATCAGTTGTTTCTTTGGCTCTAGGAAGATCACATCCTGTGGTCAGAATGTTAGGTTTGACAGTTGTGGCACATGTGTCGAGGGCCACGTGTCTCCCCAATGACAGAGAAAGGTTTGGTTTGGTTTTAAATCGGTTTCTATTGAGATGGGAAGGTTGGAGTCTGTATTTTCCCAGCCCATGGGAGGAGGTAGCAATTTGTTCCCAGTGCAAGGATGCTCGTGAGATGCCAAGTCCTTAGTTTTCCTTCTTTCCTTCCTCTACAACTTAAAGATATCGGCCAACTTTTCTATATTACTCCTTTTTCTTTTCTTCAGTATGTGAATGAAGGAGTGGCTAGGCCGAACCTGAGCAGTGCTATGATCCTGTGCTCCAGGGGACAACACCTGAATCAGAGAGCTAGGCTCAGCCCCGCAGGATTAGCATTGCCATTACAGAATGAATGCAGGACAAGCTTGTTCTGCTCCATCCCCCCCCCCCCCCAAGATCTGCCACTCCTAACCCAAGAGCCTTAGTTTCAGTAGGGGTGAGGGAATAAATAAGGAAAGCTAAGTGAGGGGGCCTTTGCCCTAATGAGGAGGCTGAGACATGGGCGCTCAAGAGGGCAGGGGGACTATTTTAGGGATTCTGTTCTGTAGTTGCTTTTAATTCCTAAAACCTTTTAATACCATGTAAAAATGCATAATAAAAGGGTGATTCTCAATGAACTGGATTTATACCTGGCTTTTTTTTTACAGGGTCATTTGAGGTATTTTATTAATATAAATGTCGTAAGAAGTAAAAACATTTTTCATGGACACAATGTAATAAGAAATTCTCAAAAATAAAATGAAAAATTGCAAAAAATAAAAAGTTCCCAGGGCTCTATA